AACTGGGGCTTGCAGACTTAAGTGGGACCCCCTTACACAGGCCCATGAGCAGGCTCTGGCTGAACTCACCAAGAGGCTGGGGGCCTTGGAAGAGCCTGATGTGACTGGCCAACTGGCCGACCTGCCTGAATATTACAGCTGGGGGGAGGAGCTGACAGAGACCAGGAACATGATCCAGGTGAGTAAGTGGGGATGTTGGAGAGCCAATAGGAGAGGCAGTGGGTCACACTGGTGCTCCTAAACTTAGTCCCAGTGTCCTGGTCTCACATCTTCCTGTGTCCTTCCCATGTCCCCTCGTGTCTGCCCTTCTCTCCAGAGACGCATCATGGAGTCCGTGAATGGCCTGAAATCTCTGTCTACAGGAAGGGTGGTAGTTGTGAGGAATGAGGAACATCACAATGCCTTAGGTGTGATCCTGCAGGTGAGGACAAGAGGGGTCCTCACCACTAGACAGTGGGAGGCATGACACTGTCTCCCCCTTGGCTCAGGCTCTTGTCACCACTTTATGCTTGTCTCTGTGCCTGGTCCCAAGAAGCTCCTCTAGTTACTTGGCTTGGCCACTCATCCCTCCTCAGTTCAGTGGTTCTGTGTGGTGGTGGGGGTTTCCAATCCTTGTCCAGGGTGGACATGCTATGTCCACATTTGGTGTACATGCCTCCTATAGGTCTCCTCAAACTCTACCAGCAGAGTGTTTACAACACTGGTCTTGTGTGATAAGCCAGTTGTGTCTGAGAGCCCACAGGACAAGGGGCCAGCCATTCCAGATGTGCCCCAACCAGATGACCTTGTGGGCTTCAAGCTGTTCCTGCCTGAAGGTGAGTTCCTGATAGTGGTGTGAACAGGACACCTGGGCCATGACAAAGCCCTTCTGACCTGATCAATTTCCAGGGCCCTGTGACCACACTGTGGCCAAGCTGCAGCCGGGAGACGTGGCTGCCATCTCCACCAAAGTGCTCCGGGTGAATGGGGAGAAGATCCTCGAGGACTTCAGCAAGAGGCAGCAACCAAAGTTCAGGTCAGGGACGTGGGGAGCCTTTTCTAGGGAGGGGCATGTCCCAGTGGGTGTATGTGTACAAAGGGACCATGAAACAGGGAGCCGAGGGTCTCCCTCAGCTCGAGGGGAGGCCCCTGTGGCAAAGAAGCCTCTCGGTCCAGATCACAAAACCCACTCCCCTTCAGGAAGGACCCTCCCCTTGCAGCTGTGACCACTGCAGTTCAGGAGCTGCTGCGTCTCGCTCAGGCCCATCCATCAGGACCCCCAACCCTTGACCCTGTCAACGACCTGCAGCTCAAGGATGTGTCAGTGGTAGAAGGTGGGCTCCGGGCACGGAAGCTGGAGGAGCTGATCCGGGGGGCTCAGTGTGTGCACAGCCCCCGGTTCCCTGCCCAGGTAGCGCCTAAGCAGAGGCAGCTTCCACCCGGTGCCCTGTAGCCTGGGTACTCCTCCCTCAGTCCTGTGCCCAGTATACCCCTGCTGAGGGTGAGGGGCCGCTGATGGTCTCTGCTGTGACTCTGTTTAGTACCTGAAGCTGCGGGAGAGAACGCAGATCCAGAAAGAAATGGAGAGGCTGCGCTTCCTACTGTCGGACCAGTCACTGTTGCTGCTCCCCGAATACCACCAGCGTGTAGAGGTGAAAGAGCAGGATGGGGCATGTGAGGTTAGGGGAGCTCGGAGAGAGTCAGGCTCCCCAACCCTCACCGTTTGTTGCAGGTGCTGCGGACCCTGGGCTATGTGGATGGGGCTGGCACAGTGAAGCTGGCAGGACGAGTGGCCTGTGCCATGAGCAGCCATGAGCTGCTCCTCACTGAGCTCATGTTTGATAATGCACTGAGCACCCTGCGACCTGAGGAGATCGCAGCCCTGCTCTCTGGCCTGGTCTGCCAGAGCCCTGGTGACCCTGGGGATCAGCTGCCAAGCACCCTCAAACAGGTAGGGGCCATCACTCCTCTCTTGGGTTATGTACCTCCACCCCTCCACCCTCTGCCCAGCCCCGATAGATGCCTCCCAAGGTGTGGATAGTCTCTTCCTGATCAGGGGCCTCCCTAGTCCTGGAGCTGGAGGCCTTGACCTCTCCTTACCATCTGCAGGGGGTAGAACGTGTCAGAGCTGTGGCTAAGCGGATTGGTGAGGTCCAGGTGGCCTGTGGCCTGAGCCAGACAGTGGAAGAATTTGTGGGAGAGCTGAATTTTGGGCTGGTCGAGGTTGTATATGAGTGGGCTCGGGGTATGGTAAGTACCTGGGTTTGGCAGGTGCCTGGCTGGGAGAGGTTGCCCAGGCCCGGAACATTTAGTCTTCACTCTGTTCTCCCCATAGCCCTTCTCCGAGTTGGCAGGGCTTTCAGGGACCCCTGAAGGCTTGGTGGTCCGCTGCATCCAGCGCCTGGCTGAGATGTGTCGCTCTCTTCGAGGAGCAGCCCGTTTGGTAGGAGAGCCTGTACTGGGTGCCAAGATGGAGACAGCAGCCACCTTGCTACGGCGGGACATTGTCTTTGCGGCCAGCCTCTACACCCAGTAAAGGGTGTGTGAGATAAAAGTATAACAATAGGAGATCAGAGTGCTTGGAGCATGGGGAAGGGGTGACTGTATTCAGATGCATCAAGAGACCTGCTTAAAAACACGCTTTTATTATCTGCACAGAGACCAGACCGGTATGTCCTCTGAAGCATCAGTCCTTGGGGGAGGGAGTTATTGAGAGTGGCGGGAGGTCTTGAGACATGGCTTCCACATACCACGTGGGCAGGAAGGCATAGGGTGCGTCCCGATGGACAGACACAGTGACTGGGCCACCAGGTTCCCAGGAGAAGAGGTGGACAAGCCTGGTGGAAGATGGAGGTGTGGAGTGAAGTCAGGGACTGAGCTGAGATCCAGAGGTGGCGCACAAACCTCAAGTCCTTACCTGGGGTCATCTTGGACAACTGTATTCTGGGCAAAACTAAGGAAGGCAGCACAGAAGTTCATGCACACAGAGGGGTTCCAGCCATCTCGGTCATTCTGGAGGGGACAGAAGAGGCAGGAGCCATGGGGGTGGGAGGAGGGGAAGGCACATGGCAAAGGGGCACTGGACCTGAGGTCTTGATACAGGGAGGGGATGCGGTGGCAGCCCAGAAGACTCACCCTCACGCTCTCAAACATCTCCATGGTAGGGAAGGTCTTTAAGGAACAGACGAAACCTTCTGGGTTCCGGAAGCCGGCAACAACATGTGGGACCCCTGGGAGGAATGACTGAGCCCACCATTTCAGGAGCTTGTGTCTGATAGGAAAAAGGCAAAGGGTCAGCAGGGCCCCTCCACACTCACCCTCTCCATTATCCTAGGACTCTCCTGTTCACCCAGGGCCCGAACCTGTAGAAGTTCCTCCACTGGCCAGGGCTGTGCATCTCCTTGGAGGTCTTGAGCTCCACATAGCAGGCGGGGGGCTGTGTGGATGGGGCCTGGGGATTAATGCAGTCCACCTCCCCAGAGAAGAGCAGAGGGTGGTTCCCCAGGCGGCTGCGTAGCACAGAGCAGAAGGCCACGTTGGTGTTAACATCCCCAGAGGGGTCCGGGGAGCCTCCAGGTTTGTCTGTGCAAGCAGAGAAAGCAGCAGCAAGGGGAAGGGGCTCAAGGCCTCTGAGGGACTGGAAAGTGGCCACACAGCAGAGCGGGCAACTCTCACCTGCACACATGTACTGCTCAAATTTGTAGCCCATGTACATGAGCTCCCGGAGGAGGGGTGGCCTAGCGAGCCTCTGCGCCCGAGCAGCTGGGGTCTCCACCTCACTTATGTACAGTGTCCCTTGGAACCGTGAGGCTGCCAGCTGCCAGCCCTCCTGCCGCTCATACGGTGTGGTCAGCAGTTTCGTCAGATGCCCTCGCCATGTCACTGTGGCCCCTGCCAGCCAGCCTGGACCCCTGAGGGGGGAAGAGTCTGGGGCTAACGGTCTGAGCCAAAGTCCCCGCTAAAGATCACTTGGCTCTCCCAGTTTCAGGAGATGAAAATGGATCTCCAGATCAGCTTGTGCGCTGTGTGCTTCGCTCACCCCTCCAGCTGGTGTCGGTGTTCCAGAACCCAGCGTAGCAAATGGTCCAACCTCTCCTTGACTTCCTCATCCCGGGGCTTGTATCTATCAGGGTACCCATCTCTGAGATCAAAGTCAGGACCTGGACCATTGACGGGGGGTGGGCTGTAGTAGCGGAGGGCTCGGGCGTCTCCATGGTACTGGCGTTGTGCATCCAGGGAAAAGCAGCCCAGTTCGGAAGGGCGCCGGTAGAAGGGAAACGGCCCAGAGTACAGCGCAGGCTCTGTGCGCAGTGACGACACTGAACGCGGGAGTTTGTTCCAAAGCTCTGCCACCTCTGTCTTTTCAGCTTTTCTCTTGGTCCCTCTGGGCTCCATGAGGTCCTGAGGGGAAAGCTTGCATTTCAGAGTGGACGAGGACAGAGTGAGCCCAGCGCCGTGCAGCAGTTCCCCCTCCTCTCTCAAGAGCTGAGCGCCTCTTACCCATCCACGGCCTGTCCAACGCAGGGAGGTTAACAAGTCTGGCTTTAGCTGAGCAGTGGCACACGCCTTTAATCCCAGCGCTCGGGAGGCAGACGGATCTCTGTGAGTTCGAGGCCAGCCTGGTCTACAGAGTGAGTTCCAGGACAGGCTCCAAAGTTACACAGAGGAACCCTGTCTCGAAAAAAGAAAAAAAGAAAAAGTTTGGGCTTAGAGTAACGATCTGGTTACCTCAGAGCTCCCGACCCTGACTCCCTCATTCTCCAGCCTACGGCGTCAGGGCAAACACGTCAGAGCCAGAGAAGGATGCAGGAGTGCAGCGGCCGCTTCTGATGACGCCATCACCGCCATCCAGGCGGGAGGGTGAGATGGCGCGGCTGGTCTGCACCTCCAGTCCAGTCACAGGTGGACGCCCGCGCCCGGGCGCTCCCTAAGCGAGCGCTCTGACAGCAGCCAATCGGCAGCGGCGCGCGCGTCGGAAGTGAGGCTGGCTCTGGCCCACCCCGCCCGCGCGGTCTATCGTCATTATTGTGCGCCGGAAGAGCCTGTCTCCTATCCCGGAACCGTGAGATTCCGGGCTATGAATCGCAAGAGACAGCTCCTAGCGTGTGAGGCCTTTGGAGTGAAGCGGCGGCGGGCGCCGGGGCCCGCGAAAGCGGATCCTTTGAGGGCTGGAGCAGGTAACCACGGCAATCCGGGCGCGGAGGGCCCGAGGGTACCGACCCTTGGAGGAGGAGGAGGAGGACCCAGGGTAGGTAACCATGGCGACCCGGACGCGGGCTCGCCGAGGGACGGGGCGGCCTCTCCGGGCCTCACACGGCCCTGACCCCGCGCCATCCGGTAGGGTCCGCACGCCAGGCGGTCGAGGAGCTCGTGCAGCTGTTCCCCCGGGGGCTGTTCGAGGACGCGCTGCCGCCCATCGCGCTGAGGAGCCAAGTGTACAGTCTCCTGCCGGACAGGACGGTGGCCGACCTGCAGCTGGTGAGGAGCGCCCGGGGGACCTTCTGCGGCCCCTCCCGGCCCGCGGCCTCCTGGGCGCGCACGGTGCCCCTCCTCCGCCCCCCACGTCACTCAGATCCTCAGTCGGCCACCAACCCTTAAGCAGGCGTCAGGCCAGGGCAGATGCGCACACAAAGCCTCTCGGTGCTGGCTGTTTCCACTGACAGGTGTGCCCGAGGCCACTAGTGGACGCCCAAGTAGGAGAGTGGGTCCGAGATGGCTCTAGTGTTAACTCCCAGGTTTTCCAAGTGATGGGCCGGTGGTGAGTGGGTTGAATAGGAGGCAAGCGCCAAGTGGTTGGCCGAGTTGGTGGTGGTAGGAACATGTACTGACAGTTGGCTGTGATACCTGTACATCGTTTAGGCCCCTTGAACACAAGTAAAAGTCATGAGGCAGAATGAGATTAATTACTTAGCTTCAGCAATCTGAAGAACAGACTCCAACACCTCATTTACCTGATTTCCGTTGAATTAGCCGGATATTTTTGAGATTATTCCACGTTGTTTGTCGTTGTTATGAGCCTATTCTAGTTTGTTCATTCTTGTGAAACAAACGTATTTTTTGATGAATTATGAGTTTCATCTAAGCTTTCAAATTGTATTTTCATCAGTGACCTGTTAGAAACGTCTTCCTTACCTCATTTGTAACTCTCTTTGTCCAGGTCAGTAAGAGCTGTGCCACACACCCCAGACTTACCGTCTCTCTGGCTTATGTAACTTTGTGGCCAGAGAATATACACAAGAATACAATGACCCAATGCATGGCCTGTTTTGCTAAATGTTATATATGTGTATTTGACAAAAGTATCATTCAATTATTAATCTCTCCAGCTGAGGTTATAACTGAAATACTGTTTCATCACTGATTATTTATTCCTTTGTTCCGTGAATTTATGAGGATGATTCATATACTCCTGTGATTTTTTTTGATTTGTTATTGGTTCTTTTATTTTTATTTTTTTACTGTGTGTCTGTGTGTGTGTGTGTGTGTGTGTGTGTGTGTGTGCCTGTGTGTGCATGCGCACACGCATGTGTGTGCACCCTTAGAGGTCAGGAGAGGGTGCTAGATCCCTTGGTGCTCTGCAGGAGCTGCAATAATCTTACCCCCTCAGTGTCCCCACTACAGATTAATAGTTCCCTTTAGCTGTAGTACTGCACCCACATATGCACCAAAGTCTTCCTTCAGTGACTTCAATTCTCAGTTTTAAATTCTTTTCTGGAACTTTTTATTTTGCTTTGTTTTTGAGACAGGGTCTCACTATGCAGGGTCAGAAGGCCTGGAACTCACTATGTACACTAGGTTATCCTTGAACTCACAGAGATCCACCTGCCTCTCGGGTGCTGGGATTAAAGGCGTGTGACCCCATAGCTAGGATGTGTTTAAACCTTTACCTTTAAAAAAAGATTTTTAAAAATTTTAGTATTATTTTTGGCCATGTATAGTGGCATATATGTCTTTAATGCCAGTGCTGTGGAGGCAGAGGCAGGTGAGTCTATTTCCAAATTATCTATTTATTTATTGTGTATTTGTGTGGTTTTGTGTGTGTGTGTGTGTGTCACAGTGCATGTGGGGAAGTCAGAGGATAACTTGTGGGGTTGAGTTCTCTCTTCAACTGGACTGGACTCAGGTTGACAGGTTCCGAAGCCCTAAGCCTTCTATGTGTTTTTTTTTTTTTTTTTTTTTTTTTTTTATCATTTTCTACCAGTTTTTCATCCTGGCTTTTTACATCTCAGCATTAGCGGCATAATTGTTTTTTGTTTTAATTTTAAATATAATGTCTTTTGAACTAAACATAGTTGTATGCCTTGCTAGGGTGTGGCATGGTGGTTTCACATGTTCTTATAGTGTGTAACAACCAGGTTAAGAGAATGAGCATTGTTGTCTCCATTTATCATTACTTGTGTCTGAGGACCTTAAAACACCTCTCTTTTAGTTCTTTCTAAAATGCCTAATAAATGGTATATCAGCCAAGTGTTGTGGTTCAGATCTATCCCAGGTGGGTAACAAAGAAACCATGTTTCAAAAAGCAAACCAAAACAAACAGCCTAAAGCATCGTGAATATACTCACTCTCTATATTTTAAGAAGACAAGTTCCTCCAGGATACTTTTGATGGTCCTTTTGATAACCCTGTGGTTATATGTCTTCTGAGCTTTGCTTCCCGTGTGCCGTGCTTCCCGTGTTTTTGGCCTTGTGCTGGGCACATTTGCTCAGATCAACAAATGCCCCCTGGGTGTTTCCTTCTCTCTAAATCTGTTTTCACTTTCATGTATCTGTCTGCTAATTCCTATGATCTTGTGAATTTCTTAATGTTTAAGCAAACATTTTTTTGTTGCTTTGAGTCAAGGTCTCACTTTGTAGCTCTGGTTGGCCTGGAACTTTGCTCTGTAGACCAGGCTGACTTGAACTCACAGAGATCTGCCTGCCTCTGCCTCCCAAGTGCTTGGATTAAAGGTGTGCCCTACACCTTCATCACTGTTTAACATAGTGACTAGTAAGGGTCTGGTCTTAGAAAATGTTTATATTGGTTTTTTGACAGCTTATAAGGCTGACATGTGAGAGGTAGTTGGAAAGGCTGTTTGATGGTTCACCTGAGTATCTCCCTTCATGGTAGATGTGCTAATCTCAACACAACCACCACTGCACGACCCCCCCCCCCTTGTCTTACCCTGTCTTTCTTTCCACTCTCATATCTGTGGAGACAGAAGGAGCTTCAAGAGCGTGGAGAGATTAAGATCATCCAACTAGGCTTTGACTTGGATGCCCATGGAATTGTCTTCACTGAAGACTACAGGACCAGAGTATGTGGGGGGGGGGCAGGGGGCAGGGGGCGGGCAGGGGAGCTGGGCATAGAAACAACAAAAGGAACATTATCCCTAGTTACTCCTAGCACACATCTCAAACAGGGCCCAGAGCTCTGATAAATAGTGAGATGGACGAGGGAGGGAGGGAAGAAAGGATGGAGCAGACAGGAAGGGGGAGCAGGGAAAAGGGTTTGAGAAGTAGAAGGACCCACAGGAGAGAGGACTCGGGAGGAGATTGCTGTCCTGGGGATGAAGTGGTAGAGAACCACGTGGAGGTGGGGCCACGCAGGTCACAGACATCAACTTTGCTTCCAGGTCCTCAAGGCCTGTGACGGCCGACCGTGTGCTGGGGCAGTGCAGAAGTTCCTGGCCTCGGTGCTCCCAGCCTGTGGGGACCTTAGTTTCCAGCAGGACCAGATGACACAGACTTACGGCTTCAGGGACCAGGAGATCACGTGAGCCATTGTGGGGTCGATAGGTCAGGCATGGGTCTGGCATCCCCATCCCTTCTCCCTGCAGCTCTTTCCTTCTCAGTGAGCTTGTCTTTGGTTGGTGAAGTGAACTCCACCCTGCAAGAGTCAGGAGACGGGAGGCCTAGCAGGAGCTGTGCTTAATGGTACTTAACTAGAACATCAGAATGGTAGAGGCTGCAGTGTCCTTAAAGATCACACTGTAGGGTCCCCTACAAAGAACAGGGACAAGTTCTAACCAAGGTCTCGGTGAAGAAGGGTTTCGGGATGCTATGCCTAAGTCTGGCCTTCTGCTCTCAAACTCCCTGTGTGTGACATGACCTCCCCTGGGAAGTGGCAGGGGCTGAGTGGGGAGAGGTCATAGGTTATGGCTGGCTCTGAGCTGACCCTCACTCCTCAGGCACATTGGAGCCTGTGGTCAGGGAAGCCTCCTAAGGAAGCTGTCCTGTCAACAAACAGTCACCACAGGGATTGGGGAGCTGGCTGGCTTGGTGACATGCCTGCTATGAAAGCACAAGGACCAAGTGAGTTCTAGTCCCCAGCACCCACAGGCTGAGTGCAGCAGGTGTCTGTGATCCCAGTGCTGAAAGGGATCCCTACAGCAAAGTTTAGCCAAACCAGTGAGCCCCAGGTTCAGTGAGAGACCCTAGCTCAAAAACAAGGTCAAGCCAGGCATGGTGGCACATGCCCCTAATCCCAGCATTTAGTGGGCAGAGGCAGGTGAATCTCTGAGTTTGATGCTAGCCTGGTCAGCATAGTGAGTTCTAGGATGATCAGGGCTACATAGAGAGACCCTGTCTCTAAAATAAATAAATAAATAAAATAAAAAATAAAAGGAGGAGCAGGGTTGGAGAGATGGCTCAGTGGTTAAGAGCACTGGCTGCTCTCCCAGAGGTCCTAAGTTCGATTCCCAGCAACCACAAAATGGCTCACAACTGTCTGTAACTCCAGTCTCAGGGATCCAATACCCTCTTCTGGCCTCCACAGACACTGCATGCGTGTTGTATACAGACATACATGTAGTCAAAAAACCCATACACGTCATGTTATTACTTGATGTAAACCTGTGGTCTCTGTATGCTTGTGAGTGCTTGTGTATCTGTGTACACACACACACATACACACACACACACACACACACACACACACACACACACACACACACACAGACTCTCTCGCTCTGAGGTTACAGGGAAGAAAATGCAGAGGGACACTCAGGCAGGTGGTGGAGCCAGTAGGGTAAGTGGCTCCTGCCTTGGGTTGCCTCTGTTTCTGGGCACGCAGTGTCCACACATCAACAGTTGGGGTTGGGGTGCGGTTCTCTGATCTCTGACTGCATCGTCCTGGCTTCCTACAACCTGCAGGCACCTGGTGAATGCTGGAGTCCTCACTGTCCGAGATGCTGGGAGCTGGTGGCTGGCTGTGCCTGGAGCTGGGAGATTCATCAAGTGTTTTGTTAAAGGTGTGGTGCCTACAGACAAGTCCTCAGGACCTCGGGGACACCCTTTGGGTGACGTTAGGTCTCCATGTCTAACTCACCTCTTCCTTTTCCTGGGCCACCTCTCCTCTAGGGCGCCAGGCCGTGCTCAGCATGGTGCGGAAGGCCAAGTACCGGGAGCTTCTCCTGTCGGAGCTCCTGGGCCGCAGGCCTCCTTCGGCAGTGCGGCTCGGCCTTGCCTACCATGTGCATGACCTCATTGGAGCCCAGCTAGTGGACTGGTGAGTCTCGCCCTGAATCTCAGGAAAATTCCATGACCCAAGGTTGGGTATCCCTGGGATCACACTTTGTTCCCTGGTGAAGCCTGCTTGCTCTCATCTTTCCTGGGACTTGGGAGCGCCTTGTGCTCAGCTCTAGGCAGCTGGCTCCAGTTTTCTCTCTCTCTGACACAGCATCTCCACCAGTTCTGGAACTCTCCTTCGCCTGCCAGATACGTGAGGAGTCGACTCTTGGACTCTTCCACTCCCTGAGTGAAGTTCCTGGAAGCGCTGCCCCTGGACGGCTGAGGGGGTCACCAGGATGGGTGCCAGGCCCTGCTGCTGCAAGCTGAGCCTCCAACCTGAGCTGGGCTGTGTGCGCTGCAGCTCTGCGCTTCTGTGGGTGCGGAGCCAGGAGCCATGCCGAGGGGCTAGGAAGGCAGGATCGCTGGGGATGCTGGTGAAGGGAGCAGAAAACTCTGCCCTTTGTGTCAGGTTGAAATCACTAAATAAAACACTTGTGCCTATGCAGTCGGTGTCCTTTGTTTTGTGTGATATGTGTGCAGGTGTCTAGATAGTTCAGAGAGAGAGAGCAAGGCTTACTCAGGCCATTTTCCCTGTGGGGGTAAGGGTGTGCCCCATCTTCTGAACCACAGGCTTTCTGTTAGAGCCTATCCCAAGCAGAAGACTGTAGTTGAGTCTGTCTTGAATGTAAGAGGCAAGGGTTTCTGAAGCCATTCTTGTTTAGTTAGGAACTTCAACTGCCCTGTCCATGTGCCATGTTGGAGCTGTACAAATGTACACATACACACACACGCAGTTAAGGGAGGTGCCTGGTACTGGGAATAAACAAGCACAAGATTTCATTTCGGGGCCAAGATTTCTTCAGAGACCCTGATGTTTGGGCTGCTTCCCCAGCACTGGGCCTAGGGCCAGTTGCGTTTCTTGGCCATCACGTGGTTTCCCGGCTCATCTGGGTGAGGGGAGGAGCAAGGTTCAGAGTCAAATTGTCCCAACCCTAGGTTGACCAGAAGGGAGCAGACATCAGACCAGACAGGTCTGACCTCCTCTGGACTCTGCAGCTATGCGGCTCCTCTGGGGACTGCTCTGGGTGTTCAGCGTCTTTGCCTTGTCCCTGCAGAAGCCCAGGTCCTGGCTTGGGTGGGACAGGGTGAGGGAGAGTGGGGTGGTGGGTGAGGCTGAGGCTGAAGCATCCTCGCTGTCCTTCCAGGCTGCTCCTGTTTTCCCCCTCGGTGGTTAATTTGGGGGTCCCTCTGTCAGTGGGGTTGCAGCTCCAGGATGCCCCTCCAGGACAGCAAGTAAAAGGATCTGTGCACCTGAGAAACCCGAACGGCGGCTCTTGCTCCCCAAAGATGGATTTTGTCCTCAGTTCAGGAAATGATTTTGTTCTTCTCAACCTCGAGGTAACCAGTGCCCACACCCCTGCTGTATCTCAGGCCTTCCTGTTGCCTGTTTAGTTAACAAACAGGAGCTTGTTATGCAACAGGCTGGCTTTGAACTCATGGCAGTTCTCCTGCCTCAACCTCCTGAGTGCTGAGAGTTACCTGGTTCCTCAGTTGTCTTTTATGTTTACTTTTGGTCACAGGGTTTCATGGTATAGCCTAGGTTGCCTATAAATGCTCAGCAGACTTCCTCTGGCCTCCAAGTGTTGGGGTTACTGCCACACGCCATCATGGCTGGCCTTTCTTTTGCTTCTCAAGCACTATCTTTCTCTCTGACTTCCTCCTCTTTTCCAGCCCAGTGGTCTCGGTGTCCCTGTCTTGGATTCTGTGTCCCTTTCTTCTTAGACAGTCTCCCCTGCCGCTCCTGACAGGTTCCATTGGGAGATGTGAGGGACTGTGGCCTCTTTAATCTGCGTAGAGCTCCCCACGTCCAGCTGATGGTTCAGTCTCCGTGGCTAAAGAACATAATGTCCAAAGCTACAGATACTCAAGGAGTCAACCTACTCTTCTCTTCTCGCCGTGGACACATCTTTGTGCAGACTGATCAGCCAATTTATAACCCTGGCCAGCGGGGTGAGCCTCTGGCCTCAGGGCCTCTGCTTTGCCTCTCTCCCAGGCTGCTCAGAGAGTGTTTGGTGTCCTCTATGACTCCACGGACAGCAGTGGTTTAAGTCCCCATTGTCTCCCTGCACTTGTCCCCTGTGCCTTTGCCCAGGGACTTTATCTCTCATCCTCCACTCTTAGTTCGTTACCGGGTCTTTGCACTGGATCACAAGATGCGCCCATCCACTGACACCCTCACAGTCACAGTGGAGGTGAGTGCCTGACCTCTGACCTTCCTGACCCTGTACACTGATATGATTTCCCTCCTGACCACACTGACTCCCCTTGTAGAACTCTGATGGCCTTCGTGTACGGAAGAAGGAAGTATTTGCTCCCACGTCCATCTTCCAAGATGACTTCATGATCCCAGACATCTCAGAGTGAGCTCCCTCTCCTCAGGGCACCCCTATCTACACTACCCCAAGTCCTGATTGCCTTGGCATGCCCACCTCCGATTCACAGGGTCACATTCCAGATGCTCTGACCCTGTGCACTCCCCCCCCCGCCCCCCGCCTCTTCTGGAGGACTCAGGCCATGGGCTGTCTGTGGGCGGGTAGCCCAGCTCTCTCCCTTGCTCATTCTCAGGCCAGGGACCTGGAAGATCTCAGCGAGGTTCTCAGACAGTCTGCAGTCCAATAGCAGCACCCACTTTGAAGTGAAGAAATATGGTAAGTGCTGAAGCTAGGGGTGGAGACAAGGATGAGGCAGGGCAGCCCTGAGGGAGGGAGCGGTGGAGGACTCTTTCTCTAGTACCTGGCCCGCTCGCTCACTCTTTACCCTATTCAGTTCTTCCCAACTTTGAAGTGAGGATCACCCCATGGAAGCCATATATCCTGACAGTGCCCAGCCACCTGGATGAAATACAACTAGACATCCAGGCCAGGTAACCACTGTCATCTAGTCCTGCACCCATGACTCACCTTTCAAAAGCTTCTGTCCACCCACCCTTGGTTCATTCTTCCTTCCTTTTCTTCTTCTTCTTTTTTTTTTTTGGTTTTGAGATAGATTTTTACCCTTGCTGTATACTCACTATGTCAATCAGACTGGCCTTGAACTCACAGAGATCCATCTGCCTCTTTCTCTTGAGTGCATGTGTGTGTCTATGTGTGCAGGGGCATGTGTGAACATGTTTGTGGAGGCCAGGGAACAACCTCAGGGGGCATCCTTAGGAATTCTGTTTCTCTCCTTGGAGGCAGTCTCTCATTGGCATGGAACTCACTTAATTGGGCTAGGCTGACTGGCTGGCTGGTCAGGCAGCCCGAGAATCCCCCTGCTGGAATTACGAGTGGATGCTGCCACACTTGGCATTTTGCATGGATTCTGGGGTGCTGAACGAGGTCTTTGTGCTTGTGTGGTAAATACCCTGCCTGCTGAGTTATTTCCCCAGCTCTCAGCTCTCTTCCAATCTCCCTGTGATGACAGGTATGTCTACGGGAAGCCCGTCCAGGGTGTGGCATACACACGCTTCGCACTCATGAATGAGCATGGCGAGAGGACTTTTCTTCGGGGCCTGGAGACCCAGACCAAGGTAGGAACGTGGTGAAGGAGGGCACTGAGCAGAAGAGGGGAGTCCCCACTTGTATCCCATTTTCTTTCTTTTAGTTGGTAGAAGGCCAGTGTCAAGTTTCCATCCCAAAGGACAAGTTCCAGGCTGCCCTGGATAAAGTCAACATGGGGATCAGAGACCTGGAGGGGCTGCGCCTCTATGCTGCAGCAGCTGTCATCGAATCTCCAGGTGGATGGCTTTCCTCCACTGTCACCTCAACCCCTTGCCCTTGAGGACACCGAGGGGACATTTAAGATGCAAACTACACCATCCACCTAGCTCTTCATCCCTGATATTGACCATCTCATCTCAGGCACACAAACAAGGAAGACCCCAAGACTGTCTCTCTGGTCCTGTCTATTTCCCTGTCTCCTTTTACTTAATCATCTTGCACCACTCATCTGTTCACACACCACCCGATAGACTTGCTATATACATCCATGAAGATGAAGTGATGCTAGAAACATTTCCTGACTCTTTGACTCTTGCCTCTCTTTTTCTGGGTTCCACCTCCCTGCCCTTTGTCTTACAGGGGGGGAGATGGAGGAGGCGGAACTCACATCCTGGCGCTTTGTGTCATCTCCCTTCTCCTTGGACCTCAGCAACACCAAACAGCATCTTGTGCCTGGAGCCCCCTTCCTGCTGCAGGTTCCTCTTGGAAGGACAGGACTGGAGGGGAGAGGGTGTGGGTTGCACAGTCTTGATGCCTTTTTTTACCGATATTCCTCTAGGCTGTGGTGCGAGAAATGGCAGGCTCCATAGCCTCTGACGTTCCTGTCAAAGTTTCTGCCACATTGTCTCCTGGCTCTGACTCGAAAGTCCTCAACTTTCAACAGAACACCAACGGGATTGGCCAAGTCAGCATTTCCATCCACATCCCACCAGCCACCACAGAACTTCGGCTCTCAGTAGGTGCTTCTCTGAGCCCTGGAGATGGGAGTGGGGAATGGAGGGTCCACGAGTTGTTTTCTGAGTGCTTCTGACTGAGTTTGGGAGGAGGGCTGGTATATCTGGATCCTTGGCATAAGCCCTGTCCTTCCCTGCCCTTCTCTCCAGGTGTCTGCAGGCTCCCCCTATCCAGCCACAGCCAGGCTCACCGTGCAAGCCCCACCTCCACGAAGCTCTGGCTTTCTGTCCATTGAGCCGCTGGACCATCGACCCCCTCGTGTGGGGGACACTCTCATCCTGAACCTGCGAACTGTGGGCATCCAAAGGCCTACCTTCTCTCATTACTACTACATGGTGTGTGGGACTCAGGGTATAGGAGTGTTGGCTGAAGGGCAAAGGCCTCTGCAGAGCTAGGCACAGGTTCAGGAAACCACTTACTCCTCTTTGGCTTAGGTCCTCTCCCGGGGCCAGATCGTGGCCATGAATCGGGAGCCTAGGAGGACTCTGACCTCCATCTCTGTGTTGGTGGACCATCATCTGGTACCTTCCTTCTATGTTGTGGCCTACTACTTTCATCAAGGACACCTAGTGGCCAACTCCCTGCTCATCAATGTCCAGCCTGGGGACTGTGAGGGCAAGGTGATTGGGGCTGGAAAGGTGGTGGTGGTGGTGTGTGTGTGTGCATGTGTATATGTGTGTATGTGCACGTGCGTGTGCATGCATGTGTGTCCAAGCGTGTGTGTATATATGTCTGTTGTGTCTGTGTGTGTGGTGGGCATGCGCGTATGCATATTTTGTATATTGCATGGGTGTACATGCACATGAATGTGTGAGCTTGAGGAGGGCTGGGAATCGTGTTGGATTGCTCTCTTCTGCCTTATCCATTGAGGTAGTTTCTCTCAATGAAGCCTAGTGCCCACTCGTCTTGCTAACCACTGTGCTCTGTCTTGGCCTTTCAAGGCTGGAATTACTGGTATGCCCTCATGCCTGCCTGGTTTCTGGCAGTTCAGATTCCAGTCCTCGTGCTTGAATGACACACACTTTTAACCTCTACTCTGTGTCTCTAGCCCACCCCCACCACTGACTGCCCTTTACTTACCATTTCTGCCAGCTGGAATTGAATGTGGATGGCACTAAGGAGTATCGGATTGGGGACAGCATGAAACTCCAAATTCAAACGGACTCTCAAGCCCTGGTGGCACTGGGAGCTGTGGACACAGCTCTGTATGCTGTGGGTGGCAGGTCTCACAAGCCCCTCGACATGAGCAAGGTTTGTCAAGCCCTCTCCATTTCCTCTGAGCCTAAGCTTTGGGGCTTAGTTTCCCAGTCACTCAGTCCCCACAGGATCCTGGCACTTCCCCTCTTGACCTTGGTCTCTGGTTCCCTACTCCACATCCCTCAGCATTGTTTGAGCCCTGCCCTAATGCCCACAGCGGAGCAACAGATCCTGCGCCTCAGCCACTCATGTCTCCCAGCATCTCTTGCCTTATCCTGCTAGGTCTTTGAAGTAATGAACAGCTACAATCTTGGCTGTGGTCCCGGAGGCGGGGACAATGCCCTCCAGGTGTTCCAGGCTGCTGGTCTGGCTTTTTCTGATGGAGAACAACTAAGTCAAATCAGGGAGGGTAAGAGTGGAGTAAGTGGGAGCTGATGAGGGAGGAAAGGCTTGGGGAGGACATCCAGGGGCGAAAAGGCAGGGCGGGGGTAGGGAAGGAGGGCGGCTCAGCTCCTCATGGCTTGGCTGCCCTCTTGCTCTCTACCAGGCCTGAGCTGTCCCAAGGAGAAGAAAAGCCGACAAAAGAGAAATGTGAACTTCCAGAAAGCTGTCAGTGAGAAGTGTGAGTTGTGGGAGCCCACGGAACACTGGGAGCCATGCACTTGTGGTATTGAGGGCTGGGAAGCCAAGGGCTGACTGTTCTCCAGGGAGGTGGGGCTGAGGTTCGGGTCCTTCGCACCTGCCCAGCCTCTCCTGGCCCACCAGTGGGCCAGTATGCTTCCCCAGAGGCCAGACGCTGCTGCCAAGATGGGCTGACAAGGTTGCCCATGGCTCGCAGCTGTGAACAGCGGGCAGCCCGTGTGCGGCAGCAGGCTTGCCGGGAGCCCTTCTTGTCCTGTTGCCTGTTTGCAGAGGAACTGCGCAAGAACCACACCAGGAACCAGGCAGGGCTTGCCCGAGGTGAGCAAGCAGCCAGCCAGGTGAAGCTGGGGAGCAGGTAGTGGGGGGCTGAGAAGGCAAAACTTTCCCTTCTCACCCCTGCCCCTCTCCACCCCCAGCCCAGGAGGTGCTGCAGGAAGAAGATCTGCTAGATGAAGATAGCATCCTTGTGCGTAGCTTCTTCCCAGAGAACTGGCTCTGGAAAGTGGAGCATGTGGACCGATTCAAACTGTGAGGGCCTGGGGTGCCTCATCTTGCCTCTGGGCTGGCTGGGTCTGGAGGCAGTCCCGTGGGGTGACACAGCTTCTACCACAGGCTGACGCAGTGGCTTCCCGACTCTCTGACCACATGGGAGATTCATGGTGTGAGCCTGTCCAAGAGCAAAGGTGAGGTAGCCCTGCCCAGACCCCAGGCTTTCTCTCTCTTCCCAGCTTAGTCCTTTGCTTCCAGCATGGGGGTGGAGCCCATGGATCTGGGAAGATCTTCACACATATGTGGAGCAGGTCAAAGCTGAGGACAGAGTGAAGACTTTTTCATACCCTTTCTCCTGTGGCTTGAGGTCTTTGTGTCTATCCATCTCTGCCCCTGCCGCATATTCCCATGCACAGGCCTGTGTGTAGCCACACCAATCCGTGTTCGAGTGTTCCGAGAATTCCACATGCACCTGCGCCTGCCCACCTCTGTCCGACGGTTTGAGCAGTTTGAATTACGGCCTGTTCTGTACAACTATCTGAATACTGACCTGACTGTGAGACCCTATGGGAGGGAGCCTGAGTGCTCAGGGAAGGGGGTGGGGAGGGGGGGTGGGGGAGGAGCGTGCAGCCAGAGATGGGGCAGGCAGTGGTCTTGACTGGATTAGGCCTCTGACCATCCCTGTTTTCCTGTCCCCAGGTGAGTGTTCATGTGTCCCCAGTGGAAGGGCTGTGCCTGGCTGGTGGTGGAGGGCTGGCCCAGCAGGTGTTGGTGCCTGCAGGCTCTGCCAGGCCTGTTGCCTTCTCTGTGGTACCCACGGCTGCTGCTGCTGTGTCCATGAAAGTGGTGGCTCGAGGGCTTTTTGATGTGGGAGATGCTGTGTCTAAGATTCTGCAAATTGAAGTAAGTGACTACCTCAAAATCTAGGTCTCCTGCGCTGCCAAGTCTGTCCTTTAGCTTCTGTTGACCAGGTCAGGGCTCAGCACCCAAAGCTAGTGCATAGGCAACCTTACTACTACACTTGCAACTCAACTCTGACTCTGAAATTATTTATTCATTTACTTATTTTCAGACAGAGGCTAGTATGTAGCCCAGGATTGCTTCAAACTCACTCCGTAGCCCAAGCTGGCCTTGAACTTTCAGTAACCCTCCCATCTTTGCCTTCCAAATTGTTGGGATCACAGGCATGCTTTGTCACACCCAGCTGTCTCTGAAGTTGTTCATTCTATGTCATTTCATTTGTGAGGTACTGGGAGTTAAACCTAGGACTCTATGCATGGTAGAAAAGTGAGCCATCCATGAAGTTTACACTCCAAGTCCCAGGGTGTCTGCTCCGGGAGGGGCAGGTGGGCGGCTAATCCTCACTCTAAGTTTTGATTGAGACAGAAGGAAGGGGCCATCCACAGAGAAGAGATGGTCTACGAACTCAACCCCCTGGGTGAGTGCCTCCTGCCCCAGCCACCAGTTCCCTAGGGTGAGTTATGGGGCCCAGGGGCTGACCACAGCTCCTCTATCTTCCTAGATAACCGAGCCCGGACTTTGGAAATTCCTGGCAGCTCTGACCCGAACATGATCCCCGATGGAGATTTCAGCAGCTTCGTCAGGGTTACAGGTGGGCTTATGGTCCACACCTTTCCCAGGAGCACCTGCAAGTACCCAAAGCCTGTTGGGTGCTGCGTTGCCCTCTGAGGCTGGGTCCTCGGTCTCATCTTCTCCCTCCTCTATAGCCTCTGAACCTTTGGATACTTTGGGCTCTGAAGGCGCCTTGTCCCCAGGAGGCGTGGCCTCCCTCTTGAGGCTTCCCCAGGGCTGTGCAGAACAAACCATGATCTATTTGGCCCCTACGCTGACTGCTTCCCACTACCTGGACCAGACAGAGCAATGGAGCAAGCTGCCCCCCGAGACCAAGGACCACGCTGTGGATCTGATCCAGAAAGGTTCTGGGTTCAGGGAGAGGAGGAGTCAGAGCCGGGGAGGGCAAGATGGGCAGTCGGGAGCCTAGAGAGGGAAGCTGGGGGTGTCTTTGGGAGCACAGATAGCAGGAGAGTGGGCATGTCACCTCCATGGTCACCTCTGCTTTCCCAGGCCACATGCGAATCCAGCAGTTTCGGAAGAAAGATGGCTCCTTTGGGGCTTGGTTGCACCGGGACAGCAGTACCTGGTGAGGCTGGGGAGTGTGTTCAGGGCAGCTGGAGAGTAAGAAACCACAGGCCAGGTCTCCAGCCATCCTTTCCTCCCCTCTAGGCTCACAGCCTTTGTGCTGAAGATTCTGAGTTTGGCCCAGGATCAGGTGGGCGACTCCCCAGAGAAGCTGCAGGAGACAGCTGGTTGGCTACTATCACAGCAGCTGGGTGACGGCTCATTCCACGACCCGTGTCCAGTCATCCACAGAGGCATGCAGGTGTGAGCCTGCAAGAGGTCCCCGAGGATGTCAACAGGAAGACTGGGTCCCCCACCACTCCAGCCTGACACTCTCGTTCTCTCCTTACCAGGGGGGTTTGGTGGGGAATGATGAGACTGTGGCGCTCACTGCCTTCGTGGTCATCGCCCTTCACCACGGGCTGGCTGTCTTCCAGGATGGGAGTGCCCAGCAGCTGAAGAACAGAGTGGTAAGGAAGCCAGCACAGCTGTCCTTCATGGCCCCAGCTGTCCTCACTCTGGGAGCCCAGGTGGACAGGCTCAGACCTCCGATTTCTTGTAGGAAGCCTCCATCTCCAAGGCTAACGAGTTCTTGGGGCAGAAGGCAAGTGCAGGGCTCCTGGGTGCCCATGCAGCCGCCATCACCGCCTATGCCCTGACATTGACCAAGGCCTCTGAGGACCTGAGGAACGTTGCCCACAACAGCCTGATGTCCATGGCTGAGGAAACAGATGGTGAGGGGGAAGGCACCCTGGTGGAGCTCCTGGGACCCTGAAAATGCCTGGAAAGAAGGCTATCATGGCTGAGGAGTAGAAGCAGGGGTAGCTGGCAGGGGGCACCAGAGAGCCTGGTGGCTCAGCTCCACCTGCAGTTTCCCTGTTCAACAAGCATTTCCCTTCCTTTCCAGAAAACCTCTACTGGGGCTTAGTCATTGGCTCCCAGAACAATGTTGTGTCCCCCACACCGGCCCATCGTGGCCCATCAGAACCTGTGCCCCAGGCCCCAGCCCTGTGGATTGAAACCACCGCCTACGGCCTGTTACATCTGCTGCTCAGGGAGGGCAAGGGAGAAATGGCTGACAAGGCTGCGTCCTGGCTCACCCACCAGGGCAGCTTCAAAGGGGGATTCCGCAGTACCCAGGTAGGGGCAGCTATAGGGCTTTGGGTATGCAGTTCTGAGATTAAGTGCCTGACTCCTAGCCTAATCTCTTTAGGACACAGTGGTCACCCTGGATGCCCTGTCTGCATACTGGATTGTTTCCCACACCACGGAGGAGAAGGTCCTCAATGTGACTCTCAGCTCCCTGGGCCGCAATGGATTGAAGTCTCACATGCTGCAACTTAACAACCACCAAGTCAAGGGCCTGGAGGAGGAGCTGAAGGTGACCCACTCCCTCCCTGACAGGGTTGCTGTGGGGTTTGGGCCAGCTCAGAAGCATGCACATGTACACACACACACACACACACACACACACACACACACACACACACCACCCATGTGCTGCCCGGCTCTCTCCTGAGGGTGTTGTGGGAAGGACCAAATTTCTCCTGACTGTGTGATCAAACCACTGGGCTCTTCTTCCCTCACCCAAAACCTAGCGTGTCTGCAGAACCCACACCAGGGTCTAGGACAGTGGTTCTCAGCCTTCCTAATGCTTCAGCCCTTAAATACGGTTCCTCGTGTTATGGTGACCTCCAACCATATAATTATTTTCATTGCTGCTTCATAACTGTAATTTTGCTACTGTTATAAATCCTAATGTAAATATCTTGTCTATGGTTTCCGATGGTCTTAGGTGATCCCTGTGAAAGGGTTGTTCGACCCCCAAGGGGGCCACAACCCACATGTTGAGAACCACTGGTCTAAGAGGGTAGAGAGAGAAACTGCAGCAAAAGCTTTTAGACAGGGGATGGGCTGCTTGAGGGATCTGTCCCCTGTGCCCCCTGACCTGCTTTTCTCTCCCTCCTGGAAGTTTCCCCTGGGCAGCAAGATCACTGTGAAGGTGGGAGGAAACAGCAAAGGCACCTTGAAGGTGAGGCCAGCAGGGCATGGGGTGGGGAATGGGCCTTGACGGACACCTTGTGGGCAGAGCTTCAGTGCTGGGGAGGAGGAAGCCATCTCTGGCTTTGTGTCCCTTGATTCTTTCCTGAGCTGCCATCTTTGCTCTGTTTCCTTCACTCGCCAGTCCTGGTCCTTAGCCGGGCCTGTCCCTTGTCCATAGTACCTCAGACCCAGGTCCCCATGCCCCTTTTCTTTCTGCCTGCCACACCTGGCACCAGGCTGGGTGCCTCTCTAAAGGGATATGGGCAGCCTCCCTCTGGTCTGGCTCAGGTAACTCCCGCTGTGTCTTCATGCTGCCCCTCTGATTACTGTCCTGCACGGCAGTGAGACTTAAAGCCTGGGAAAATGTGCCATTTCCAGCATGGTGGCATATGCCTGAAGTCCCAGAGCTTGGGGCATGGACTCAAGAGCATCACTAGCTCAAGGTCTTCTTAAGCTATATAATGTTTTTGAGACCAGCTCATGTAGGGTCTGAGAATTGCTGAAGTGCCCCAGACTCAAATAGCATGCAAAGACAAAGAGCATTTATTCCAGCATGCAGGGGCAGCACTTGTACAAAATGGCAACCCTGAAAGGAGCACCTAAGCCCCTTTTAAGTTCAGCTAGAGGAGTTCTGGGAAGTTAGGGCATCTTAAACACAATTGGTTAGGCAGGGTGTAGCTACATTAGTGCATTTTTTAATTGGCCGTGGTTGTCGTTTTACCAGTTTTGGATATACTTAGGCAAAGCAAGGTATGTTTTAGGGAGATTACAGGAATTGTCCTTTTTTGGTCACTGCTGGGACTGGCTCAGGCCTGGTATGTACTGTCTCCCTCGTCCTTTTAGGAAACTGAAACTCAGGCCCAGTTGTAAAATGGGGAAAGTTCGGACCTTTCACTTAAACCACTTGCGACCCTTTAAAAAAAAGCCAGCCTCGCCCCCCCCCCAGCACGTACCCCACAACTTACACAGCTGGGCTCTGCCCTTCATCACCTCCACCTCCTCATTCCTGTCCTGTCATTTGTTTTCACTGAGCGCCCACCAGGAGGCACTGCAGAGCTTTTTGTTGTGGCCTCCTGCCCCTCCTGGCAGGCTGTGCTCTCTGGGTGGCCTGGCCTCCTCACTTCACTTACACCTTCCCCAGTGCTGTGGTGGGGTTGGGGATGGGAGAGGTTGGGGGGCTCTAGAGCCTTCTGCCAGGAGACCCTTCAAGTCTGTGCCGCATGTGTCCTGTGTTCTCATCCCATCTCTGACTGAGCCAGGTCCTTCATACCTACAATGTCCTGAACTTGAAGAACACGACCTGTCAGGACCTTCAGATGGAAGTCACAGTCACAGGCTACGTGGAGTATACCAGTAAGCCCTGGGGTCTGTGGTCCTGACCCCTGCAGGGCTGACATGGGCTCAGGAGCTCCTTACCACTGACTGCCCTGCACAGGGGAAGCCAACGAAGACTACGAAGACTATGAGTATGAGATGCCAGCTTCAGATGACCCTGGTGCCCACTCGAACTCGAAGCCTGTGACGCCCCTACAGCTGTTTGAGGGCCGTAGGAGCCGCCGCAGAAGGGAGGCTCCCAAGGTGGCAGAGGAACAGGAGTCCAGAGTCCAGTACACCGTGTGCATCTGGTGGGTGCTGGGAGCTTCCTGGAGGGGCAGGGCAGTAGGGAGAGGCTGGGCGGTGCCCCATGTGTAGCACAGGGGGTCTGTGCAGCTGCCCCCTCCTCCCTGCAGGCGCAATGGCAAGGAGGGGTTGTCCGGCATGGCAATTGCAGACATCACTCTTCTGAGTGGATTCCACGCCCTGAGGGCTGACCTGGAGAAGGTACAGTCAGCCACCCACAGTTACCCTTCTGTCTTATCCACTGCATCTCTGTAGCACCCCAGGTGTCGAGCCCAGTCACATGCAATGACCAGGGCCCGACTGTCCCTCTTCCCTGCAGCTGACTTCCCTCTCCGATCGTTATGTGAGTCACTTTGAGACCGACGGGCCCCATGTCCTACTGTACTTCGACTCGGTGAGTGGGGGGAAGTACCACAGGAAGGAACTGGGTTCTTGATTCTGTGTTGTGAGGATGAGGTGATGAGGGCAAGATGTGGGGAGGAGGCTGGACAGTAGCAGCCTTGGAGAGCTCACACGTGACACACCCCAGTGCAAGGATGGGGCTGTGAGTCCAGCTTGGCAACCGTCAGCCTTCAAGGGAGAGATGGAGGCCACCACAGATACTGGTGGGGAAGCGAGGGCTCGCCCAGGCCTGTGTTCCTGGGAAAGGAGAGGTGGCCAGGTGAGGCAGGGTTGGTTCAAAAGCCAACCCGCATCATGGAGGGTCTCACGGGGAATGTGTGCCTGTAGTGACTCTCAGCAGAGGGCCTCGGGCAGCGAAGACCAGGACAAGGCCACCATCTTGGCAGTGAGGTCATCAGAGACCTTGGGGGCTAGTTTTTAAGAGTCTAGTGTCAGGATGAGGAAGATGACAGGACATGAAGGATGCTGGAGACAAGGTCATGGTAACCAAGCAGAAGCAAGGCAGGTGAAAGTAGCCAGTGGCCTGGCCTTGAGCAGCCTTCTATCCTGGTGCCAGGTCCCAACCACCCGGGAGTGTGTGGGCTTTGGAGCCCTGCAGGAGGTGGCTGTGGGTCTGGTGCAGCCTGCCAGTGCTGTCCTGTATGACTACTACAGCCCCGGTGAGCACTCGGGATGTTCTGGCATGCAAGATCATGGGGGCTGAGCCCTGATTAGGGGCACCATGGTGGGTGAGGTGCTGTGCGGGCTCCACAAGATGCTGAGATGGAGAGGAGAGGCACAGGCCCTTACTCCTCGCTGCTTTCCTCTAGATCACAAGTGCTCTGTGTTTTATGCTGCACCGACTAAGAGCAAGCTGCTGTCCACCTTGTGCTCTGCAGACGTCTGCCAGTGTGCTGAGGGTGAGAGGGGGCCTGTGTGGGGCTGGGAGATGGCTGGGGAGGCCCAGCAGGTCTCATCTGACACTTGACCTCAGGGAAGTGCCCTAAACAGCGACGCTCGCTGGAACGAGGGGAGCAGGACAAAGATGGCTACCGGATGAAGTTTGCCTGTTATTATCCCCGTGTGGAGTATGGTTAGTTCCCCCGGGCCTCTATCCTATTTGGCACCAGCACCTTGGGCTGTCTAGGTTGCCTGCTTTTCTGCCCGCAAGTCCACCTATGGCCTCTTTGTATTGCCCCGACTTCCCTCCCTTTTTTTGTCCCCTCTCAGGCTTCCAGGTTAAAGTTCTCCGAGAAGATGGCAGAGCTGCCTTCCGCCTCTTTGAGACCAAGATCATCCAAGTCCTGCATTTCAGTAGGAAGGAGAGGCGGGTGGGCTGAGGAGTCATGGAGGTTGAGGTCTAGGTGTGGGGCCTCTTAGAATTGGGAAAATTCCAAGTCTGAATGCAAATCCCCCATCCTCCCACCTCCCTGTGCCCTGGTTTCTGGGAACCTGGACTTGCTCATAAACAGTGAGCCACAACTCCTTCTGTCAGGAGTGGAGTGGGTTAAATGGCAGGATCTACAGAGGGTCCTGCCCTGGCTCCTGCCCTCCCTTCTCCAATGTTATCTTTCTATTTCCTCAGCCAAGGATGCCAAGGCTTCGGTAGGTCAGACCCGCAACTTCCTGGTCCGGGCTTCTTGCCGCCTTCGCCTGGAGCCTAACAAAGAATACTTAATCATGGGTCTGGACGGGGCCACCAGTGACCTCAAGGGAGAGTGAGTCAGCTTACCCTGCCGTCCTTTGCTCTCCTCATATCTGTGACCTTCTTTTGGGGACAGATCCTAGGCACCTAGCTCTGCCCTTCCAAAGACAAGTGCCTTCCATGTCCATCCTGACCCCTGCTGTGTCACCTGTGTCACCTGCAGCCCTCAGTACTTGCTGGACTCCAACAGCTGGATCGAGGAGATGCCCTCAGAGCGCCTGTGCCGGAGCACCCGCCAGCGGGCAGCCTGCGCACAGCTCAACGACTTTATCCAGGAGTACAGCAGTCAGGGGTGCCAGGTGTGAGGGTGCAGGACTCTGGACCCCTGAACTCAGCCCAAGGGTCAGTCATAAATAAAAGCTTTTGACAGCAAAGTGTCCCTGTGTGTCTGTATATGTGGAGCAGTCCTCCACCCACCCAGGTTTTGTGGGCCCTAGCCAGGTTTGTATGATCTTGGATTTAGAGTCTTGGGGAGCCTTGGGCTGTAAAGGTCTGCCCGAACCCTCCTTGAGGCAACTCTAGGATTCAGTCCATCTTAGGGCCAATAGCCAGTGCCCCAAGTACCCTATCGCCAGGTGTCACAGTCACTGCACCCTTAGAGACGCCTCTCGTCTTTAGCCCACATACTCCTGTGGTTGGAGTTGTGGGGTCTGTTGGCCTGAACTGTGTCAACCTGTTGCAAGCCCGTTGACCTTGTTGTCAGTGGCATTAGGCAATCTTTCTGGCATTGTGCAACATTAGGTCTGAAGGTCACTGATTTTAAATAGGCCGAAGGTTGACTGTGTTGTTCTTAATGAGAGCATTCATGTTCCAGCCTCAATCTCTCTCTGTCCAGCTAGGGGCTATACAGAAGGTGGGTAGGGTTTTTCTAGGAGTCAGGATGAGAGGGAAATAAGCCAGCACACATACCTGTTCCTCTCATGGCTCTTTATTCTTCAAGAATGGAAACTTCACAACAAAGTTCTAAGATTTCTCTCTAAAAGTTCTTAAAATTTCTCTAAAGTTCTTTCCTAAAAGTCTCCAAAAGTTCCTTCTTCTAAAGGTTCCCCTGGGATCTCTCCTATCCCACAAGACTTCTAGTTTTTGTACCTGCAGGCACATTTGACAACTCTCTGACAGTAGGGCCTGCATCTCTCTGAGAGCCAGGAAGGAGGCAGGATCTTGAGAAAAGCAGGCACCTCATGTCTCTCCCCTGGATGTGACTGCAAAACATTCAGGGGGTAAGCAACTTGCAATATGTGCTGTTAACTGATTAAAAGGGGCTTCTCAGCACTGTATCAAAGGGAAAAACTAAGGCTATGTAGTGTGAGATCCTGAGGCTGCAGCTCTTACTGCTGACATCCAGGTGAGAAGGAATTCCTTTCTCTGGGGCCCGTTTGAGAATACAAAACACCCAGTTATATTCTCTATATAGTCAAATTCGTAGTAACAAGTATTCTGGAGTTAATACCTAGAATATTAATTTCTATTTCTCTAATAAATGATAAAGTCTCCCAGCAGTTCCTGAAACACTCAAGGGGAAACACATCTCACAGGGGCCAACCCTCCCTACCCTGTCTGCCTAACTTTCCCCAACCTTGGTGGCACCTTTGGTTATTTATGGATGTCCTAGAATTCTACCCATGGAAATTTACAGAGGTCAGATGAATCTGTTATTGGATCATTCCACAGGGATCCATGGCTTGTCTTCCTTGTTCTGCCTAGTGATTGGTACCAGGCTCATAGCTACTTATTCTGGGAGCTCATAACGGGGGGGGGGGGAGCCCGAAATGAGACTAGGTAGTTCCTGTGTCCTGGGAGAGGTGAGATGGAGGGGCTTAACCCAGTGAGGAGAGTACCAGAGCAGCATGGGGTATTTCCTGTGGGTTGTTTTGAGACAAGGTCTCATGTGTTCTAGGCTGGCCTCACACCTGGAGCCTCCACAGTTGAGTTCTGAAGTCATAACATAGATCACGACACCAAGGATTTCATAATGCTAGGGATGGAACCCAGGATGTCAGACATATCAGGCAAGCACTTTACCAACTGAACCATATCCCTAAATGATTTTTGACTTTTTGAGACAGGTCTTACACAGCCAACACTGACTTTGAACTCCTGATCCTTGGCTCACCTGAAATTACAGGAGTGCCCCAGCATGCTGGGTGGCTAGTCTGTGTTTGGAAGTTGGAGTTGAGCAAAGAGAATAAAGATAAGGGGAGTTTGAAACAAAGAAAGGGAAATACACAAAGGCTGGAGACAGGAAAGAGCACATTTTGGGACTCTGAAACTTGTCCCTGCTGGAGTTTGTATTTGAAGATGTGGGAGGGGGTGCTGAGGTAAGCAAAGACACCTCAGGAGGGACCTTCACAGCCACCAGGCTTCCTGGTCACCCCATCAGCTGGTGACTTTAGAGGAGGTCTGGTCTTCCTGGGTATTTCAGAACATTGGGCCTTTTAACATCTGCATTTATTTTCCCCAAACCAGTCACCAGAGCAGGGTTTAGTTGTAGCCTGTGCCACCCATAGAGATGCTGCTGCTTTTATGACCCAGCCCCAGACATCCCATCCCCTTCTATCTCCTGGGGCAAGGCCAGGGATCCAGGCTAAGCCTGGGCTTCTGCTACAAGGACCAGGCAGCCGTCAGCTCACCCAGCTTTGGGTAGCACAGCTGGATTCTCACCTTGGTTCTCATGCTGCACTCCCTGTGCTTTGGGTAAATCTTGGCGTGGAGATGAACCATAGGGTCTGTCTGTAAAGCTGGGGATGGGGAGCTAGGAGACTTCTCACACAACTCCTTGAGCTCTGTCATCCTTTTTGGAATAGTCACTCCCCAGATACTCTGCTAGGTTCCCAATCGTTCCCCTATCAGGGCCCTTGATCTGGTCCTAAGGGAAACCCATCTCATATGGCTATAACTTCTGAATCAGTTGTGTCTGCCCAGCTCCCTCCTAGGGAGGCCCTGGTTGGTAGACTGTCTCCATCACTTGGATTTATCTTCTCCCTGACTGGTTCTGTGACCTGTGGGCCCTGACCCCAAAGGCAGCCTTATTCTACCTGTGCCTAAAGCACAGGAGGCTTAAATGGCAAAGAGAAAGGAAGAGCACTCAGCAGACTTTTTCTGTCTCATGTTCCTGACCTATGGCCTACCAAGGCCAGCAGGTCCCCTTTCCCCTTTCCGAGCTTCCACAGATATCTATGGTGATTTTCCTTTTTTCTGGCTGTCCTGGAACTCACTCTGTAGACCAGGTTGGCCTTGAACTCCTGCCTCTGCCTCCTAAGTGCTAGGATTAAAGGCATGTGCCACCACTGTCTGGCTTTTTTTTTTTTTTTTTTCTTTTCTTTCTTTTAAGTCAGCTCAGTTGGTCATTTTGTTGTTGCTGCATCCAAGTCTTAAGCCTCTGTTTGCTAGGCTTAAGGTGCTCGAGTGGGTGAGACAGCGAATGTGGAAGCAACTCTGAGAGACCTACGCCGCGGGAGTCTTGGAAGTTTTACATCACTTCCAAGTTGGAGATCCAGATTACATTAGATGTCACCGCACAGAAACCTTGAGACTCGGTCCTCCTCCTCTGGACCCACCCCCATGCCACTCCAGGTTATAGGACCCAGGGACAGCCTCTTACAACTGCCCATTTTTATTTCTCTCTTGTTGCTTACTATTGGAAAAATTGTTACTTTTGTTATGAGTGCTGTCCAGATTATGGTGCTTAGATAGCAGTACAGGAGCCTCCGGAGCCAAGAGGAGGCTGCTTCTTAATTTCCATAGTTCTAAGATTAGAACTATTGACAAGAGAAAAAGGGGGGAATGAAAGACCTAAAAAGTAATGTTAATGATGGACTAACCTGGAAACCAATATCTGTTCCTTGGAATTTGCTAGCTTCCTCTCACAAGGCCCTGAGATAAGAAGAATTCACACTGCCCCTCCTTTCTGCCCTTCCTTTCCTGTGAGTCAACAGGTGGTAAATAGGGTCCTTAGGAAACAAAGAGATAGCTGTAACTCTGGTTTGCCCAGACAAGATTAATTAGTACACCCTGAGGCCCTAAGGTCTGCTGACCCTAATAGCAGACCATCTGGCCTCCAAGGGTCACATACTCAATGGACAGAGGGTCCCACCCCCTCCCTAAGCTAGTGGGTTTGCCTTTAAAAACACCTGGGCCCAGGGGAGGGGGCTTCTCCCTAGCCTGCGTGCTGGAGGAGCCCATTTGTGCAAACGTTTCCTGTTCATTAAAGCCTCTTGCGTTTTGCAGCAACTGGACTGGACATTGAGTTCTTGGGGTATCGACTGAACCTGGAAGACTTCTCATTCTGAGGGTCTTACACAAGGAGGGCAGCAGCTGCTGGTAGTTAAAGATACAGATTCTGCCCCTGGTTGCCTGCTGGAGCCCAGCTCTGTCTCAGTAGCTTCGTGCACACACACACAAGTCACCCAGCCTTGGCCCAAGTATCTTCATTAAAAAACAGGGACAAAGGCGTGGCCTATGCAGCATGGCTGGGGGAGCAGTTAGGAGAGTGTGTGGTACACATTGTTCTAAAGTGGAGCGGGCCATGGCTTCTTGTCTCCTGACACCTTTCTGTGTGGTGATGAGGAAAGAGCCCAGTGTCTCTGTGTGAGGCAGCCATGCACCAGTACAGCCTTGTCTCTTCTGAGATGGGCTATGTAGCCCAGGCTGACCTCAGACTCAGTCCTGCTGTCTCTGTCCCCTAAGTGTTGAGATTACGGAACCACCACACCTCATTCTAGACATTTCTGACAGTGAAAGAGGCCATATGTGTAATGTCACCAGCCCAAGCGTTGTGGTATATGCCTGTGATCCCAGCATTTGGAAATGTGAACACTTTGAAGGGAGCACTTTGAAACCATCCTTGGCTTCATATTGTTTTCAAGACTAGCCAGGGCTACATAGTGAAACCTGTCTAAATAAAAAGGTCTGGTTGTTGTTTTTGTTCAGTTTTACATGTACACATAACATAAAATATAAGTAAATGAAAAACTAAACAAAGCCCTCGTGTTTTGTCTGTATGCATGTGTGTGCATGCAGTATACCCTGGAGCCAGTAGAGGGCACTGGAACTCCTGAACTGGAGTTACAGAAGGTTGGGAGCAGCCACATAGGTGCTGGGAACCCAACCTCGGTTCTTGGCAGTGGCAACCAGCACTCTTAACCACTGAGCTACCTCTCCAGCCCTGTGGCACTTGTTTGCCACTCCAGAAATGGGGAGACAGAGACAGGAGCATCCCTGGGGCCAGCCTGCCTAGTGGATTCAGGGAACTCCATAAAAATGACAGGCTCAGGGGTGTTTTCATCTGGTCAGACCACCTGAGGTTGACCTTTGGCCTCCACACATGCACCCCCTCTGTCCCCACAAAAAGCCTCAACCAAAGCCAAGAACAACAACAAAGAATTACACAGGGGACCAGGCATGGTGACATGCCTGTCATCCCAGCTATTTGAGGGACTGAGGGAGAATTCAAAGTTTGAGGCCCTGCCTGAGCTACATAGTAAATTCAAAGTACCCTGGACAGCTTAGTGAGACTCTGTCTCAAAATTAATAAAAACGGGACATAGGATTGTCTAGCAGGGGATTGCTCACCCGGAATGTATAAGGTCCTGGGTGCAGTCACTAGTATCACAAAAATAAAGTGGTAATAATAATAATAATAATAATAATAATAATAATAAAAATACTTGTAGGGACTATAGGCAAACCCGAAAGGCCTATTGGGCAGAGTTTGTCATTTATTTTTTTCCTCTGGGATAAATTCATTCCGCTCAGCTGGTTCAAGGTGGGGTTCGGTGGGAGGGGCCGGGCTCAGGATGGACCTCTCGGCCCACGTGACTCAAGAAGAGCTATGAAACTGATAATGGCACAGAAAGGTCAGGGTTTTCCATCTCTTCCTTTCTTCCTGATGGATAGTCCCGTCTCCTCATGAGTCTCCAAGGCCAGTGGGACTGTGCCAGTTTGAAAACACACAGCTCTGAATGTGGGCAGTGGGAAGGGACCTGAGGCTGATAAAGGTCAGAATCATAGCCGGATGGATGGCTGGGGCCCAGAGCTATAAAAAGCCGTGTCGGGGCTGCTGCACAAGTGTCCCACCATGGTGCTACCTGGGCTGTGGCTGCTGCTGCTGCTGCTCGTAGGCATCCGCTGGCTGTGGGGCTGGTGGAAACTCTGGAATCTCCACCTCCCACCTCTTGTCCCGGGATTCCTGCACTTTCTACAGCCTAACCTCCCTGTCTACCTGCTTGGCCTCACTCGGAAATTTGGACCAATCTACAGGATCCGCATGGGGCTGCAAGGTGAGCCAGCTTTTTTTCTTCCTGTACCCATCTCTCCCTGCTGACACCTGCTGTCCCCCCTACACAGCTGTGGTGGTGCTGAATTCAAATAGGACCATTAAGGAGGCCCTGATCAAAAAATGGGTGGACTTTGCTGGCCGACCCCCGATACCATATGGTAAAGATTGAAGGCACTTTCTTCTTCTCCTCCTCTTCCTCCTCCTTCTCCTTCTTAAGATAGGGACTCACTATGTAGCCCTGGTTGGCCTGGAAATCACTATGTAGACTAGGCTAGCCTCAAACTCACAAAGACACACCAGGTATGACCACTGCTCTGGGCTGCTTCTTGGACTGGGGGAGGTAGTTCAGGCCTTTGGCTTCCTTAGTTAGTCACTGTTCTCTCCACCATCCCTCCTACAGAAAAGCTAGACTTGGACCTGTCACTAGGGGACTACTCTTCAACATGGAGGACCCACAAGAAGCTCTCTCGTTCGGCACTGATGCTGGGCATGCGAGGCTCTATGGAGCCCCTGGTAGAGCAGCTGACCCAGGAATTCTGCGAGGTGAGGCTGCACTGCTGTGGCTTGGCCCTCCTGGGGTCAGCTTCCCCCACCCTGGTACCCCTTGGTCTCCACAGCCTATGTAGCCCTGCCTCTCTTCTGCAGCGTATGAGAGCCCAGGCTGGCACACCCGTGGACATCCATAAGGAGTTCTCCTTTCTCACGTGCAGTATCATCTGCTGCCTCACTTTTGGAGTCAAGGTCAAGGCTGCCCCCCTGTCCCTCAGGCCCATCCCTCAGCCCCTCCTGACCCTTCAATGGTCATGAACTCAAAAGCGTGCCCTTCCATTCTGACAGGATGACACTTTGGTACACACCATTCATAACTGTGTCCAGGACTTGATGCAAGCCTGGAACCACTGGTCCGTCCAAATCTTGGATATAATTCCTTTTCTCAGGGTGCGGAAGCACAGCCCAGACTCCTGGGGACTGGGGCGGGGGTGGAGTGGGGGGGCACTGGTCTCCATCTGGAAGCTGATGCCCCTTCCTATCCTAGTTCCTCCCCAATCCAGGCCTCCGGAAGCTGAAGCGGTTCCAAGAGAACAGAGATCATATTGTAAAGCAGCAGCTGAAGCAGCACAAGGCAGGCTCTAGCTCCCCGACCTAGGCCAGCGATGCACCTGCTGCCCCTCACCACTGCTGAGCAGGCTTCCCTCCCCAAGCTACACACTCAGCCTGCTTCCCCTGCCCTCTGCAGGACAATCTGGTTGCAGGCCAGTGGAACGACATGATTGACTACATGCTTCAAGGAATGGAACAGCTAAGAGAGGACAAAGGTGCAGGACAGATCCACGAAGGGCACGTGCACATGTCTGTGGTGGACCTATTCATCGGTGGCACCGAGACCACAGCCACCACGCTCTCCTGGGCTGTGGCGTTCCTGCTTCATCACCCTGAGGTGCACTGTGGGAGGAGATTGAGGCTTCTTCTGGCACTTGGCCTGTGCTATGTTCAGAAAGGGGGCTCTAGGCTCAGCTAGGTGGCTAGATGGATGGGCCGAAGACTGGGCAGCCATGAGCTAGGTCCCTAGACTCCAGCTTTGCCCCCTCTCTTCTCAGATCCAGAAGCGACTGCAGGAAGAATTAGACCTCAAGCTGGACCCCTGTGACCCCAGCTCCCAGATCCTGTACAAGAACCGAATGCAGCTGCCTCTACTCATGGCCACTATTGCTGAGGTGCTGCGCCTGCGGCCCGCCGTGCCCCTGGCCTTACCCCATCGCACCACTCGGGCTAGCAGGTGATTCTCTGGGTTAAGGGTTGAGTGAGGAAATTATCCCACCCCTACCCAGGGTCCTGAACAGCTTCTGACTCCACCTTCCTTCAGCATCTTTGGCTATGACATCCCCAAGGACACAGTCATCATCCCCAACATCCAAAGTGCCAACATGGATGAGATGGTCTGGAAACTGCCTAGCCAGTTCTGGCCTGGTATGATGGGATCAGGCAGGGGAGTGGAGGAGCCCAGGCCTCAGCTGGGACGCATTTCCCTAGCTGTCTGTTAACTACCCACAGATCGCTTCCTGGAACCTGGCAAGAGTCCCAGGACACTATCCTTTGGCTGTGGGGCACGCGTGTGCTTGGGAGAGCCTCTGGCACAACTGGAACTCTTTGTGATACTGGCTCACCTGCTGCAGGCCTTCACACTGCTGCCACCACCAGATGGCACCCTGCCCTCCCTGAAGCCCCAGAATTATGCTGGTGTCAATCTGCTGATTCATCCCTTCCAGGTTCGGCTGCAGCCCAGGAACCTGGTACCACAAGACCAGGGCCAGAACCCTTGACAGGACAGGACCAGTGCCAGCCTCGTGCCTCAGTTTCTCCTTTATTGCTCCATTATCAACCCCTCCCCTCCCCCCTGTAAACATGGTGCTGTGAGATCGTGGTAGAGAAGGCTTCCTTGGTGAGCCAGGCAGTAGAGACACACTCGCTCTTCTCTGGGCACGACCCCTCAGTGCTCGGCAGTCATACTGGGGTGTGAGCAAGGTGGGCAGCAGGCTCAACTGCCCCTGGTGGGGGGCTGGAAGTTTCTGGGTCTCAGCTTCATTTCCGTGAAAGGTACGGAGAACTCGAAGCCCTTCCAGTGGTACCAGCTCACTCCCTGAAGAGAGAGTTGTCAAAGGCGGGGAGTCAAAGCCAGCACATCAATGCCACTCATTCATCCCCACCCTGCTCCTGCAGGTGACTCCCAGGAATCCCTCCATCTCCCTCATGCTCCCTGCCTAACCCTCTGCTGCAAAAGGCTGAGGCTTAATCCCCAGCCGGTACCTTCTATCCACTAATAAATAGTCTTCAAGCTTCCTCAGTGAGGTTGGCATCATTGTCCCAGTTCACAGATGACAAGAAGTTCAGTCATTCATGTGACAGTACTCCAGCCCAAGCGACCCAGAGCCCAGCCTGCTGCCCTCATGGCCCCCACCTGGTGGTCCACTGTGCTCCCATAGAGCCCGTTGAGGTTGGCATAGTGACAGTTCCTATACCACCAAGCCCCACGATAGGATACAGCACAGGAGATGAGCAAGTTGTTGGGGTCTCGATCACGGGCAGAAAAGACACTGCCGCTGTGGTAGCTCATAGAGTCGCCTGGCAGGGCATGGGAAGGCGTGGTGAGGACCGCTCTTATGCCCACCCCCACCCTGTCCCGGGCCCACCCTCACCTGCGGTGCCATGATAGCCCTCTAGGTGTAGACGGTAGTTTTCCATTGCTGAGTCTACCCGGAAAAAGTCATACTGGGCGAAAACAGCTTCGTTTCCAGCCCGCAGGTCCACTCGCATGGAGTAGTCTCCAGCCTGCGTCAGACTGTGTAGGACCTCATTGCCTGGGGTGGAGCGCTCTTTGTCAGGATCCTGGGGTCCACAGGACTGCCATCCCTTCCCTGGTTCCCCAGCCCTATGAGGCACGGACCCAACCAGAACTCCCTGGAGACGTTCCCAAAACCATGGGCATACTCCTCCCAGTCTCTCCAGAAGTCCGTCTGTCCATCCATGCGGCGCTGGAACACCTGGAAAGCAGGCAGGGGCAGCATTAGCCTCTGGCTCCTGGGCAATCAGTTCCTGTGCTACACAGGTACCTGGGCTCTGACTGCAACCCACCAGCCAGCCGCCTCCATCAGTCTCCATGTCACAAAACACATCCAAAGGCTGCTCGCGGTTGCCGTTGAGGAAGATGGTGGTGGTCTTTGAGGCACTGGGCCCATTCTGCATCTCCTCCCCACAGTCCCGGGGGAAGGGGACCCGCAGCCCGCCTGCAGAGAGGAGATGGGGAGTCTGTCTTCCCTGAGTCTCGGACCCCAGCTGCCCACTTAAGTTCAGCCCCCGGTGTCAGTACCAGTTGTAAAGGAAGTGGACACAGGTGGTGTGAGGCTCTCGCCCCAAACAGCCCGGAGCTGGGCTCTGTAGAAGGTGGAAGGGAAGAGGCGGACAAGCCGGTGTGAGGTGGTTCCTGCTGGAAGCAGGATTTCCTGGACACAGACAAGGAACACACAAGGTCAGCAGAGGGCGAGATGGAGACTCACCAGGAGGGCCAGAGGTGGCACCTCCAAATCAAGCTATGGAGAGCAGATGGCCAGTGAGGCAGGAGTGGGGTACCTGAATCTGTCCTCCAGGGCTGTCAAAGCTGAGCAGGTAGCCAGTGGGCGGGACTTCGGGCTCAGTCCAAGTGAGCAGTGCCGTTCGAGGGGTCACTTCCTTGGCCTCTAAGTCCTGGGGAGCCTTCAGCCCTGGAAGGGGACATAGGAAGAGGCAGGTGAGCCCACACCTGTCCCTTTGAACCTCCTGTGACCCATCTCCCTCACAACCTTGGCTCTACCTGTGGTGAAGGTGATGCTGGCTGGGGAGGTGAAGTTAGGGCCGCGGAGACCACGCACAGTGGCTGTGTAGTTGGTGTCGATCGCCAGGTCCGTCAGTGGGTAGTCCACAGCACTGCCAGGTGCTGAGGCCTGCAGGGTTGGGGCTGGGAGTGGGGGTGGCATCAACTCCTGCCCATCCATGCTGTCCCCTGCTCACCCCACCTTGAATAAATCCTCTTCAGAGGAGGCTCAGCCATGCTCACCTCCAGGGGATGCGACCTGGACGTTGTACTGGTCCACGGGTTTGTGAGGGGGTTTCCAGTGCAGAAGGGCAGACCCATCAGTCAAGTTCAATGCACGCAGCTGGGTGGGTCCGTCGGGAACTGGGGGAAGCAGGGAGCTCAGAGGTATCCCTGCCACTGTCCCTACCCTTAACTCTCCCAACTCCACTGCCTCCCTTGCCCTCTTCACCCTCACGACAGACAGCCTTGTTTCGGCTTTCTCTACCTCTCCTGGTGCCGGGGGCAGTCTTTATTACCCGTAGTCAGGAAGCCTGTGAGAGGCTCACTCTCCTCAAAACCACGGACAGAGACCACTGTCACCTCGTAGCGAGTGTCTGGGATCAGCCCCTGGAGGATCTGGGTCTGGGTCCGGCCGTCCACTAGCACACTCTGTGGCTCTCCTACAAACAAACATAGGTGGAGCCCGCTGAGGGTCACAGGAGAGGTCTGAGAGCAGCTAGAGAGGGGACAGTGTGCAGGGGTGGGGATGGGCAAGAGAGGAGAGCTAAGGAGGACGTGGGAGGAAGGGGCTGTCACCTCCATCTGCTAGTTGGTAGGAAATTTTGAAGCTGTCCACCCTGGATGGTGGTGGCACCCAGTTGACTCTGGCTGACGTTTCCCCAATTTCACTGAATTGCAGGTCCCGGGGGCTCTCCAGAACTGCGGACAGTAAGGCGGATACAGCGGTGAGGCTGCAGATAGGCAGGCTCCTGCTCTATCTCCCCGAGTGCTCTAGCTTCAGAGAGGCCCACCATCCCTCTCTGGAAGGTCGCTCTCTAGGTGCCTTCAAGTCCTCCCATTCGCCAGACCCCTTTACACACTGGGTTCCACTCTGCAAGTACAATGCTCTCTCTTGGTGCCCAGGATGGGTCCTCACCTGGACTGAGTGTGCGAGCAGTACCCTGGATGCTGTCTGCCTTGTGTGGCCCACGCAGCCCGTACAGAGTCAGGCTGTACAGGGTCCCAGGATGCAGGTCCCGAAGCACAGCTGAGCGCTGTGTCCCTGGCACCACCAGTTCTCGCTGGACCAGAGGACGAGAATATGGCTCCAGGGTACTTGGTGAGGGGACCCCAAAGCGTATTAGGAAGGTGTCAAAGGCCCCAAGTGGGGCCTCCCAGTTCAGCCGCAGAGAACTAGTGGTCACATCTGTTACTGACAGCTGGGACAGGCGGGGCCCTGGGTCTCCTGGGGTCTGACCAGCAGGAACTGGACCTGTGGGAAGTGGGTGGGAGAAAAGGCTTTGGAGACAGAGACAAACCAGCCCCAAGGCTTGGAGCATGTCACTTCTGCCATCCCACCCTGGTTCTATTGGTCAGAAAAGTTGGGCTAGAGAGGAACAGAGCCACAGGAGGGATGTTCAGTGGCCTGACATCGGAGGAGAGGAGAAGCTATGTAGGGCAGGTGACCAAATGTCCTCAACTCTTCCTGGGTGTTTCCTTGTGCCTTCCCTGTGGCAGGCACTTCTGGATGTCACCTTCCTCCCTTCCCTTCCTAGCCCCCAGACTAGAATAGTCCAGGCATGGCACACCTGTGGTGCCCTCTGCAGAGACAGGTCCATGACGCATTCCTTCGCGGAGCCCATAGAGGAAGAACTGGTAGGAAGTGCTGGGTTCCAGGCCTGAGATAAGGACCTTGTCCTGGTCTCCATCGACAAGCAGAGCCTGGGATTGCCCCTCTGTGTCCTGGTACTGGACCACAAAGGAGTCAAAGAGCCCGCGGGCCACATCCCAGGAGAGGCGCAAGGAGTCTGGGGTTGCCTCAGTCACTGTCAGCGTCCCCAGGTGGGGTGTTTCAGGGGGCTCAGTGGGGCTTGGGGCTGGCACATCCTCTTCTGGGGCTACATGGGAGAAACCAGGGCAGAATCTTCATTGGGTGCTGTGGGCCTGCCCTTCCCATCATGCCCTTCAAAGGAAGGGTTATGAGGCCAGCCAGGGATGAAGACAACTCATAGTCCTGCCAGAGCAGTCCAAGAGAGGAAAGGGAGGGACCAGGGCATCTCCCAGAACCTTCTTGAATTTGTTTTACCCTTACCTTAGCATTACATCCTGACACCCAGGAGGGCCTCTCTGAGCCTAGACCCAGGGTCTCCTGCCTGGGAAGCTGCTGTGTCTGTTGGCCCTTCCTCAGCTCCTGGCTGTGTCTGGACCAGGGACTCACTTCCCCTCTCCCAGCCTCTGGCATATCAACCCTGCCCCACACAAGCAGTGGCCCTTCAGGCTCTGTCCTTGCTCTGCCCTTAGTGCCTGTCTCAATGATTTTGAGAGCAGCTGAGGGTGGCACTGGCTGGTGTACGTGTCTGGAAAGTCACACTAGTCCTGTGCCCTTGGCCAATCTGAAGTGGGTGTCAGTGGCCTCTGCCCATTGGACTTCCCAGTGATTTTCCGTTTGAGAAACAATCCTGGCTCCCTAGAACAGGGGGCATGCACCTATGCAGCAAGGGGATAGAGCTGTCCCCACAGAGTAGTGGGGAGCAGCACATGAGGGGAATGGGTGGGGTCAGAAGAGCAAGGTTCCCCAAGACCTTCCATTGCTGCCTGACCTGGCTCCTGTTCTTTCAAATGACCGATCAGCACCTAGGGAGGGCACAAACCCTCACAAACCCTCCCTTCTTTGGCTCTGGACAGGCCTCTGTCCTTCCCACCCATCCGCCATGGTCAGTCCCTTTGTCTTCAGACTCCTCAGGCCTATGGTGAAGCAGGGCAGCCTCACCTGTC